GCAGGCGCTGCTGGAAGTAGACACAGAGCTAGGGCTCGCACTTTAGGTTCGCAGAAAGAAGGGAGCCAGGGAAACCCTGACTGGCTTTCTCAGCGGCACTTAACAACCTCTGCCTGAGTATTTTTGTACCTGGATCACCATCTCCAAGCTTCCTCTAGACCAGGGGTTCTCCGACCTTCCTAATACTGAGACATTTAACACAGTTCTTCATGTCGTGGTGGCCCCCAACCATAAAATTATTTTTGTTGCTACTTCATAACTGTAATTTTGCTACCGTTAGGAACTGTAATGTACATATCTGATACGTGACCTCAAAGAGTCACGACCCACAGGTTGAGAACCACAGATAAACACATTCTCTTTCATAAAGGTAAGATCTGTGCTTCACAGACTTCACATAATTAGAATGAGGGCATTTGCTTTACATATGTCTGCATGTTTATGGGTACACACACACATACATATTTACACACACACACATAAGCATATATCCCCGTGCATCTGCTTACTTGTTTGTGCATGTCTTTCTGTTTTGTACGGAATGTGTCTTTGTTTTTGTTTGCACTGTTTCTTATGTTCTTTGTTTTTGCTATCCTCCCTACTTAAATAAAATTTCCAGTTGACTCCATCAGAGTGTAAAAACCCAAGGGTACTAGGCTCTAAGAGCAAAATATTTGTCAAAAAAACATAAAACAGATTCATCTATGGGGAGAGACTAAGCAAGGTTTCCTAGAGGCAATATACCTACTGACAAATTGGTTTCAAAATGTAGTATCATTGCTGAGTTTTGAAAAGCTGTGTGTCTATGGGTGTCTGTGTGTAGGTACATGCATGTATATGTGTGTCTGTGTGTAGGTACATGCATGTATATGTGTGTCTGTGTGTAGGAACATGTGTGTATATGTGTGTCTGTGTACAGATACATGCGTGTAAATGCAGGAACCACAGAGTACAGAAGAGAGCACCAGAGCCCCGGGTCCTGGAAGCAAACGTGGGTTCTCGAGAGGAGCCGTGAGTGCTCTTAACCACTGAGCTTTCTCCCCAGACCCCTCATTGTTGAGTTGTTTGTTTGTTTATTTTTGTTTTTTTTGAGACAGGGTTTCATTGTTGAGTTTTTGCATTCATTTGAGTGAAATGTCTTTTGTTATTTCTGTTCCTATTGGATTTTTTAAAGAATAAAAACAAACAAAACAAAACACTTCAAATTAGGTTTTCTCATTGTAGAAATGACCAAGTCCAGGACTAGGTGAGGAAAAACACAAGACTTTCCTGAACTATCTTTATGTGCCAGAAGTAAGAACACACACAGAATGGTGGGGGCTTCCAGGAAGATCACAGGAACTAGCTACAGGGTATTCCTGCGAAGGCCAAATCAGGGTCATTAAGAATCAAAATAATTATCAAGAACAGTTAGTAACCCTACTAAAACAGAGCTAAAATAATGTAAATAAAGAAGGAAGAAGGAAGGCTTTTATGTCACCATAAACTATAAATTTACAAGCATAGAAAGTGACGGCTTAGGAGAGTCTCCATCTGACAGCCACAGATGTACTAAAGTTGGTGGAACAAGTAGCAGCCTGCATGTGCTCACACACACTCACACACGGACTCAGAACATTGCCTAGAAACACAAGTTGACCTTCCCATGATTCATTGGTATCCCTGTTGATGTCCTATGACTGTCCCAGGGCTTCCATACTCCTTGCCTTCTCCAGCTCCTTGCTGGGACTCACGCTCCTCGCCCTCTATCATCAAGGCCACGCTGCTGGGCAGAGTCCCCGACAGATTGCCCTGACCCCCTTTTCTCCTTCTTTCACTGTAGGAACCTTTGGGACATCGTTGAAACAAACGCCACGTGACAATGCCCAGATAACCCAAGGTAAGCTCCTATCAACTTAATTACTTAGTGATTTCAATTCCTCTCTGCCATGTAACCTCAGGCACTCACGGATCCCAGGGGTTAAGATGAGGGCATCTTTGTGGGACGGCCTTGTGCCTACCACAGCTGGTGACATCTGAATAATGGGTGTGGATTAAATGGTGTGGAATCTATGCCAGTGTCCCCATTTTAGCAATCCTACTGGATTTATCTGAGAATCGCTATCACTGGGCAACATGCAGAGAAGTGTTGGATCTTGTGCTCTTAAATGATTCTGTTTTTCTTTCTCAAAGAATACTTGAGAAATTGAAAGCAATGAAGAGGGAGGGCTAAAGCAAAGTGAGGTGTTAACGTTTGGGGATTCCGAGAAGTCTGGTGTTTTAGAGGGTTTATCTCCTTTAACATTTTTCTCTAAGTCTGAATCTATAACAGAAAGTTTTAAAAGCGTAGTCTTTCCTAAGTTAACTTTCTATATCTCACGAATACTTAACAAATCCCTGTATATTATGACTGACATGGATATTTGGATGAAAAATTTTAAAACCTCATTTGGAAGTTTAGGCTATTGCAACAAGTAGCAAAATAGACATTATATGTGGTCTAAAGTAACAAGCTATGCATTCGGAAATGAGAGGAAAATAATTATATTGAACTGTGTACACCTCTTGACTGTAACTTGGAATATAAATGTGGAACATTCTTGTTTTCTGTTTCAAACTCTATTCTTTAAAAGTGGGCCTAGAAGAGAAAGACTGATATTTAAAAGTGCTTAAAAAAAAAAAAAGAGTCAGGTATGGTGGTGCATGCCTTTAATTTCAGCCTGTGAGTTTCCAGCCAGCCTGGTCTACAGACTAAGTTCCAGGGCAGCCAGAACTATATAGTGAGACCTTATCTCAAACAAAAAAATATGCCAAACCCCACAAAAAATAGGTAAACAAACAAACAAACCCACATCTAAGTTAATAGTACTATACCAATCTTTATTTTGGAGACAGCCTTGCTAAATAGCCCAGGCTGGCCTAGAACTTGCTATGTAGCCCAGCTTGGCCACAAACTCCTGTGTGCTGGAATTACAGCAATGAGTACACAGTTTTATTGTTCTGAACCCCAGGGATGTACATGTGTCCCATGTACTTGTGAGCTACCACATGGGGGCTGGGAATTGAACTCCAGTACTTTGCAAGTACAACGCATGCTCCTTCACCACCGAGCCATCTCTCCAGCTCCATGAAGTCACTTTCTGAAACACAGGGTCCTGGAGATGCTTACAGAGCCCTGAGACCTGGGTGACAGTACTTAACGCCTTGGGCCAGGCCTGCTGGTCTGGGCCGGCCCGCTGAGACAGCACTGCACAAAGCATGTAGCAAGGAGGGCATCAAGTCTCAGCACACACTCTCGCCATGCTGAACGTGTAATCACGGAAATCACAGCTTGCCTCTTGAGGCTTTCTCTTGGGTGCTGGCTCAGCAGCCCAGAAGCTGTAATCCACCATTGGACAGCCCAGCTCTCAGACAGTCCTGTTCAGGCCGAGCTTCTGCTGACCCCGCACTAACCTCACACAGAGGCAATGTCGGGAAGAGAGCGGCATCTGTGGGAAAAGTGTCTGGGGGCAACCGGAACAGGCAGAGAGGAGGTTAAGAAAGACCAAGACAGCAACCCTAGAGAAGAACACAGTTATTCGGGTTTCCTCTCTCAATCAGACCCTGTGAATCAGAAGGGGGCGCACACAACTATCTGGGCAAAGGCTAATTGTGCCTCCAAAACTTTCCCTGAGGAAATCCAATGAGAGGAACCTGCTGGTTCTTTTCAGGGACCTTGCTATGACTAGAACAGGATTTGAGAAAAGGAGGCTCAAGACTCAGAGGGACCCAGAGAGACAAACAGAGGACTCGGGAGTTAAAGGGAGGAGAACTTGCAGGTCCCAAGCTTTCCTGCCATTTCTAGCTCCAAAATGTCTCACCTGGTCTCCAGTTGGGGCTGGAGCTAGGTACACACCTGTCCCGTTAATAGAGCCAGCTTTCTCTTCCCTTTCAGTCTACCGCAAGTCTGAGAGCATTTCTCGTCTAGACACAGTTATGTACAGAAAGGCAGCCTCTCATGCACACTGCTACTCAAGTTCAGTGAATTAAAAGTAGCTGGCAGGCCCATGGCATTATTTATTTATTTATTTATTTATTTATTTATTTATTTATTTATTTATGTGTGTTTGTGTGCGTGTGTGCATGCATTCCAGTATGTGAGTGCAAGTGAATACATGCACATGCGGAGGTCAGAGGTCAACTCTGGGTGCTGGTCCCTGCCCTCCACCTTTGTCCGATACAGGCTCCCTTGCTGTTCAACAAGAATACGGCAAGCTAGCTGGGTACAAGCTTCTGGGGATTCTCCTGTCTCTCCTCTTGCTGTAGGAGCACAAAGATCACAGATGTATGCCATTGTGCCCTGCTTTTGGAAGGTTCTAGAGATTCAACTCCAGACTCATGCTTCTACTGCAAGTGCTGTACTCAATGAGCCAAGCTCTCTCTGTAGCCCAGGCTGGCCTCAAAGCATCCGAAGCATCCTTTCTCAAGTGCTGGGATTGCAGACATGAGCCAGATCGCCCGGATTCTACCACAGCACATCTAGGTTCCTCATCTGCATCTCTGGTCTTGGGCCATGTCTGTGCTACAAGAGTTGAATAACACCTAGTCTAGCTCTGTAAACAAAAAACCTGCTAATTCTAGATGACAATGAAGATCACAATTTGAAGAAGTAAAAAACAAAATACAAAAAACAACACCCTCAAAACATTGAGGCTAGTGGTGCAATCCCGTAATCCCGTGATCCAGCTATTCAGGAGGCTGAGGCAGGAACAGGAAGATCACAAGTTCAATGCCTAATCGGACTACAGGGAGACCCTGTCTTAAAAGATTAAAAAAATCTGGATGGATGTAGTTCAGTTGGTAGTGTGTTTGCCTCGCATGCTGGAAGACCTAAACTCAGCCCTCAGCACAAATGAAAAGCAGACAGCACTGGCTGGTTCTCAAGAAGACATGGCAGTCCGAGGCACTACGAGCAGTCACCCACCTGTTACAGCTTTTAACACATTTTATGTCCGCGCACCGCATTCAGGCCACACAAGATATAAAGGGTTACAAATATTCAGATTTTATTATAAATAAAATACTGCTTTCTTTTTAAACATAGAAAATGCCAAGTGTTGCGCTTTACTAACCTCCCGGAAGAGGAAGGCTGTGGAGATTAAGGCAAACAGCTAAAGTGAAGGCACATTTAAAAGGGCCACAGTTGGAATCCAGAGGGAAAAGATAAAACAATCTATTCTGTGTGACACCCGGCATTTCCCAGCAGCCATCCTGTCAATTCTATTACATAAAATACAGATCACTGAAACTACACATTAAAACAATGGCCGTGCTGCAGGAGTTTAATAGGTATTATCTTGTAAATAACTTTCATTTTTAAAAATAAACTTCTGTTTAAAAATATAGCACACAGATGGAAAGGATGAACCAAGCCAAACACTCCACCCACCAGGGCCTAAGCCCTGCTGGAGTGGAGCTGACCCAACGGATGATGGTGGTCTGTCTCAGCCATTTTCCTGCAACTGTGACCAACATGCACCTGCTAGGTGGCGAGCATGTAATCAGAGGAACTAGCCAATCAGCACTGAACTTGGTGAGGAAGAGCCATGCCTCTGCTGTGGCAGAAAAGACCTCGGAGGAGCAAGAGTGGAACCTCAGGGGTGCCAAGCCGAGCATTCTGGTGATCTCCATATGCCCAGCAGAGGTGGAGACAGACTGAACAGTCTTCTTCCTGTCATGGCTGTGCCTGGCGCCCTAAAGTGCTCAGTCATCGCATGTTCCCTACAAAACTGACCCATCCCGCTCAGGAATGGGAGAGTCCCATCCGTAAGTTTCCTAACTACTTTGCCCTGTCACCTGGTGGCTGCTCTGGGGCAGGCATGGAGGACAGCATGGAGCTACAGCTCAGATGATCAGGGCAACAGGGGAGAGCGCCCGAGTGCCCTCTTGGGTCTGGCTGTGGAGGTGAGCAGGCTGAGATTATGGTCAGACAATGAAGGTGCTGCAAACACAAGGCGGAGGCGGAGGCAGAGCAAAACACTGGGGAGCAGGGATGACTCTGGAGACCATAGGAAGGGAGGGGGTGTACAGGTTCCCTGTGCTAGCAAGAGAGAAATCCAAGCAAAGACGTGAACTGACAGTGCCCTCCTGGGAGGCCTGGGAATATTTACATAAATTCCTTACTCTATAATCATGATAAACAAAAACCATTCACACAAAAAATATAAATTTCAAATAATTAATAGCACCAGTGTGTCAGATAATAGTTTCTTTCCCCCCCGCTACGCAAAGTACAAAATTGCATAGTGTTAAAGGCTATATATGAATCTCAGAGGCAGGTAGGCAGGAGGAAAGGGGGCGTGTGGCAGGAACTGTCACAGTGTGGTCCTAAGAAAACCACAGAGCTGAGGATCTGAGGTTGAGAATCCTACTAGGAAATGCCACACAAGGTTCTTCCCGCTCCATACAGAGGAAAGACTGAGAGTGGGTGGAGCCACAAAGTGCAGGAACTAGATGGTGTTGGCAGCTGTGTGAAACACTGAGCGACAGCATTTGCCACCAGGATCTGGCAAACAATGATGTATTTTGAAGAGTTCTAAATACAGAACGTTAGAAAAAGCGAATTCGAGCTTAGGGCAAACATTACACCTCTCCCCAACAGAGAAGAAGACAGCACATATGGAGTCTTAATGAGACTGGCTACACCTCATGTTCCAGAAAATCTGGGGAGGAGGGAATTTACTTTTCTTCCATTGGTCAAGATCTTAGAGACCAACTGTTTGACGGATATCTTAACACTAATTCCAGGACTAACACACTAACAAAGCTTGAAGAATTAGGTTTGGGAAAAAAAAAAATTTAGTGGTTATCGCATCCCTGTTTCTTCTGCATTAAGTCCCATTTATAAAAATATCAAAAGCTATCTAGTGTAGTGGTGAGTGCAAGCTGCCCATCCAGACTTTGTATCAGCTGCCTATGGATTTGGAAACAGTTTATCTTCCTGGTCAATTCATAAGGGAGAGATCCTAAGTGTCTTTGAGCCATACTCTCCGGGAGACCAACACTTAAGTGCAGTCTTTCCCAGGACGGCTCAGTGTCCTACACTCAACAGCTAGCATGACTGGTGGATGGCTACCAGCATCTGAATGACCAATACCTTTGGCATAGGATGTTTATTTCCTTTTGTTTAAAGAGGAGGTTGAAGATGCGGAGGCACTTTCTTTATCCACAGACGGGGCATACTGGCCATCTCAATGCTATGACGAGGAGCCAAACATTTCCTTCATAGAAACATGAGAACGGAGATAGGTTCTGCTGGTGTTGAGAGGAGGGAAGGGGAAGGGTCTGCCCCTGGAGGATGCCATTTCCTCAGGCAAACAAGGGAAGGTTGCTGGGTAAAGGGTTGACGTGAATGGAAGAGAGACTTTATTAGGCCAAACCCTTTGTTCCTGGTTCAGGATGTTTAACTTGCTCCTCTTTAAACTCCGACTTTTTGTGGTTCACAAGGACAGTGATGGAGAGCAGCAGAGAAGTGGGGGGTTCTGAAAAGTGTAATCTTTGTGTCAAGGCACTGTGGCCTCCCAGGGCTCCCCTTCCGGGGGCACTGCCTTGCAGCCCTCTCGTCACTAGGGCTTCTCAATGGACGGGGTGTTAAAGCATCCGGACGGTAGGGTCTTCTTGATGTCCTCCAAGTTGTGAATGTCCTTTATGATCTCGTCTATGTCTCGGTTATAGTCCATGATGGCTGCCTCCTGTTTCCGGGCTTCATTCTCTAGGTCAGCCACCTTCCTGTCCAGATCGCTGACCTTCATTTCGTCCTTGGCTTTGTTCAGGGTGCCCTCAATCTCATTCAGTTTGTTCAGGTCCACGGTGTCCAGCTGTCCTGTAGAGTCAGGAAGGACACAAAGGAGAACAGGCTCATTCCTTGAGAACTGGAACATGACACCAAGAGCCTCTTGCTTTGTCATAAACTAAGGCTAGCACTGCCCTGACTCAAAGGTGCTGTGTGTGCTGTGTTCAAGGGTCTAAGCAGCGCTGGCCTGGCCAACAAGGGCAGGCAGAGTGGATCATTAATACTAGAACAGTCGTAGTTTTGTTCTTGAGAAAACTGGTTTTCACAGAATGTTTTAAGTTTTAAATATTTATTGTTATTATTTATTACTCTCTCTGTGTGTGCGTGTGTGTGTACATGTGTGTCTGCATGAATGCCAAGACATATATGTGGAGGTCAGAAGACAACCTGCATGAATTGGTTCTCTCTTTCCACCATGTGGGTCCCAGGGACTGAACTCAGGTTGTCAGGCGTGGCAGCAAGTGCCTTCCCCACTCCATCTCTGGAGAACTATCTCTTCAGCCCTCACGGAACGTTTTCTAAATGCACAGCTACCAAATCTTAGACCTCGCTTGTGCTTAAGAAAGCCATTTGGTAACACCCAATCCTCTTTGACAGTTCATATGTGTAATCTGTGGGCAGTTCAGTATCATCAAAGAATATAAAAATCTCTAAGATAGAAGCATATGCCTGCAACCCCCAGGTTCCAAAGAAGATGCGCTGGTTTGGAGATCACTTCCTCTTTGTAAAAGTTAGACCTTACTAGGAAAATAGAAAATGGCAAATGGCCAAGGCTGAAATGCTGAGATAACGCCAGCAAAGCCTCAATCTAAACTCAGTAAGAAAAAATAAGACCCCTTTGAAAGATGATGCTCCATAGCAAACAAAAACAAACAGAGAGAAGCAGTCTCCTGAGACAGTTTAGCTAGCTCACTGACTCTCAGATGGCCAGGAATTTATTTGCCCACCTAAAACCTAGGTGATAGAGCCAGCAATCTAGTTCCAGTCTCCCTGCTCGCAAAGTCTGCCTCTTCTCCCTTCTCTCTCTTCAGCTTACGTCCATTTCAGGGTCATCTGCTGGCACATAACTTATTATTATTGATCTTTGAGGCAGAAAAAATATTATTCGTCTTAAGAAAAAAAAAACTAAACAAAACAGTGGCACACAAATTCCAGAACTCGGGAGGCAGAGGCAGCTGGATCTCTGAGTCTGAGGCCAGCTTGGTCTACAGAGCGAGTTCCAGAAACAGACAGAGAGAAACCCTGTCTCGGAAAACAAACAACACAAAACAATCCCCAGTCTTCAAAGGCTATATTACTCCTTCAAAATGGAGGCTGGTGACAAAAGGTTATGGATCCTAAAAGGAGAGCTGCCTCTACCAAACTAGATTAAAAGGAGGGTTTAGTGTGCTTGTATTTCCATGGAAACCAAATAAAACAAACAAAGTTTTGTTAAAACTTTTAGTAGTCTTTTAGTGTTAAAGTTCTCACTTCATCAAACTGTTCTCAGAGAGAATTCTGCGTGATGGATCTGAGAATTCTTTATTCTACCATGGAGCCTTTCAAACCCCTTACAGAACCCCACCAGCAGGAGGGACTAAAGGGAAATGACTGTTTAATTGCACGATGAACCCTGGCCATCAATGACACCCCTGGCTGGCAGCTCATCTTCAAATGTAAAGACCAGGGTGTCCTAGTCGGGGCAGCGTCCGGAGATGGCACCTAAAGCACCTGAGCAAAGAGTCCGGATTCCTCCTCACTCTAGAGCTGGCTGCCTGGCAATGCTGTGCTGCTGCAGCTGACCTCAGAAGGTGCTGCCAGACAAGACACTGGGTACGGCAGCCCTGACTGTGCAAGAGCTAACGGAAACGTTAATATTGACGAGTAAGCGAGTGCTTCTGAGGATTCCGGACTAAGTGGACTCAGAGTCAGTGGCGTCAGACCCTGAGAACGGCACAAAGCCCTGGGTGCCGGCAGGGACGAGCCTTCTGTTACTTACCTAGCTGCTCCAAGAGGTCAGTCAGTTGGCTGAGGAGGCTGCTAACGGAGTTTTTGGCTTTTCTGGCATTGAGCTCAGCTTCCTGAGCAGCCTGTGAAGCCTGCGGGGAGAGTAAACAGCATGACTACCCCTGACTCCGTGTTTTCATCTTCTCTAAATATTTCCCTTAGTGAGACAGCAGATCTATTTTCAGATGTGTCCCCCCTTTCCAAGTGCTGAGTCACAGACCCTCTGCAGGTTTTGGGGTGGTGTCTTTCTTCAGGTGGAGGATATTATTTCTACTGCACGGAACAATCAGAATTCCTATGATTTTTTTTTTTGGACAGTCTTGCTATGTAGCCTAAGCTGGTCTCAAATAAAAGAGTCTCCTGTCTCTGCCTTCCGAGTGCTGGACTGTAGGTATATACTCCTGTGCCTGGCTGCCCTTCCTGACATATGCGTTCAGAGGAATGACACTATCTCATTTTCTCACTTCCTCCACTCCAGAACACCTAGGGCAAACACATGGTAAAATGCATTAGGTAGAATTAGGTTATTTTTTTTAAGTACAGATTGAGTTATTTAGAGATGTCCTATTCTTGGAGAGTTTTCATAAGCAAAGCAAAGCTTTTCTGAAAATTCTCTGTCAACTGCACACACACACACACACACACACACACACACACACACGGAATACAAAGGATATTTTCAAAGTCATCCAAAGGTAAATACATTTGGGAAAGTTCCATGAAACCTGAACAAACACACTGGGCATGAGTCACAGGAAGCAGCAGTGGAGAAGGAAGCGTCTCCGCGTCGGGAAGCAGATGCTCCCACCAACAGCCAACAGCACACAACAAGCGGCTTTGCAGGCCCCACCAGGAATTACTGTTCCTTGTTTTGGGGTCAAAACAAAGGAAACATTTAGGGCTCAAAACAATGTGAAAATTTTAAAAACAGAAAAAAATGAAAAAGCTTTCACAAATAAATGATTAACTCAGTTCAAATTGCAGCTGCTCTCAGGGTGCCACATGGGCTTCTGAGACCGTTCTGGGACTGGGACACAGAACTCTGTTGTTTAACCTGTGGTCTTCCAGAAAGAACCACAACCCTTCTGGTTGAAAAAAATGTTAGACCCAGGCAATACTCACTGGATGGTGGACTTTCAAAACTATCTAAATACAAAAGGAATAGTGTATGAGGGCATGGCTTACTGATCCCAAGAAGTTATGTATCAAAACTAACAAAGTGGATTCTCTTTCTGCCCTTCGAATTAAACCCATATTCCTTTTTGGAACTCATAAATATGTATTCTCTACTTTTTTCAATATGCTTTAAATACAATGCTTCCATCAAGATAGCTCAAAGGGTAAGTGGCCAATAAGTTTGATGACCCGAGTTCTTGGCCCCAAATCCACATGGTGGAAGGAAAGAACCAACTCCCACAAGCTGTCTTGAGACAGCCACGTGTGTTACGGTGTGCGTGCATGCACACACATGGAATAAATAAATATATTTTAAAAAGAGAAGCCATAAGAGAAACATTGGTGTTTGCTTCATGGTAATTTCCATTTGAGCCTCATTTTTACATTAAAATCGCAGGATAATCCAGCACAAAGTTTAAAAACTCAGCTGTTTTAGTCAGTTGTGGTGGTGCATAACTTTAATCCCAGCACACAGGAGACAGAAACAGGAAGATTTCTATGAGTTCAAAGTCATCCTGGTCTACAGGGCGAGCTCCAGGTTAGTCAAGGCTACAGAGGGAGACCACCCTGTCTCATAAAACAAAACCAAAAGCTCAGCTGGGTGCATAGAGAGGTGTCACTTCACTAGACCTTGATTTGTCCTTTCTATCTCAAGGTAAAAATGACCCACAGCAAAAGGCCCTGTTTTGGGGGCCTCGAAAGATTAGGCCTCTTCCTAACACAGCAAGGGTGTGAGCAAACAAGCTGACGATATTCACCGACCCTGTGACCACAACTCAAAACAGGAGCTATTCCCACACCCTAGCCCCCGTAAGTCCTTTCTAATGCAAAACAGAACACTGAATGAAGAAAAATAGCCCCTCATTCTCCCGTGTACCAGTCAGTCACAAAAGCACTCTGCCACAGTGGCCTGCTGTGCACAGTCACCACAGAGGTGCGGAAGGGAAGCGGGTGTGAGGCTGGTGTGAGGCTGGTGTGCTTCCGTGCAGTGGCAGAGAGCGCTCCTCAGATGCCTTGTAGAAGAACCTGGCCTCTGCCCCAGTGAGAGAGCAGCTGGGTGGACTCAGGAAGAAACTGGCTTTTCACTGCATTCTCCTTTTAAAACAATTTTAATTTTATCCCATGTATGAATCACCTACTCAGCCACATTAAACGCACACACACACACACACACACACACACACACACACACACACACACGGCTTTTTTTAAGTGTTCTAAAACTCCAGCTGTGGGGGAAATGTTTTGCTTCTAACTGAGTGGTTTAGGGACAGGGCAATTGTGCAACACCAATACCTGGCAGAGGAGCCAAATTCTTTGTCTTCTACATAAGCTACTGACCCAATTCTTAACCAGAAAATGCAATACAAACCTGAAGTTCACATGGAAAAGGCATTTGGGGGGGGGGTCTCCCAGTGCCTCTGAACAACGGGGCGCTCTTACCATCCCCGCCATCATCATGTCCTGGTCGGCATCGTCTTGTTTCCTCTTCAGCTCATTTTCGGCTTCCTCCAGCTGCCTCAACATAACGTTCACCTCGTTATCCAGATCCGTCACTTCTGCGAAGGTTCTCTCGGCGTCGGCCTTGGTGCCGGTGGCATTCTAGGCACAGAAGGAACTGCTGACCAAAGCAAACCAAAGACCCCAGAGCCACTTTCCCTTCCTAGAGCGCATCCTACTCCCTCCTATAATCTGTTTTGCTACAGCAGAGAAAAAACTCTGCATGACTCGGGTCTAGAGAGCATGAGATGTGTGAGCAGGGGCTGGCGAAGAGGGAAGCACTTACCTTCTGCACGGCGCTGGCGATCCTCTCTGCTTCGTGGGCTTTGGTCTTGGCCTCCGTGGCATCCGCTGCAGCATTGCCCAGGGCCAGCTGTGCCTCCCGTGTCTTCTCGTTGGCTTCAGCTATGGTCCGGTTGATGGCGGGAATCCTCCTGAGAGCCTCCTCTGCAGCTGTCTTGTTATCATTCACACGTCTATCAAAATCTAAAAAGGAGTTCAAGGCACACGTTTGAATTAAACTGCCGAAAAGAAAACAAAACTGCAATTGGATTTTGCTTTATACGCAGCAAACATCTGTTGGGGAAACAAAGAATAACAACTGGAGCTGAACCTCAGAGAGGGCAGAACACACCCAGCCCTGTGCAGAAGGGTTCAGGACTAGTCACAGGCCTGCACATCGGTTTCTGAGTAGAGTTCCTACTTGAAAAGCCACTGCCACATAGGCCCGGCACACCACTGCTTCAGTCAGTGTCTTGGGGGTCTACTGTGTGTCGGGTGCAGTATGACACTCTGCTGACGAATGGGAAACCAGCAACCCAAGAGGCTAATCTGTGGAACAGGGGTTCAAACAGACCCTGACACCAAAGCTACACTTGCAACTCTTATGCTTATAGAACCTGTGATTATTTTCACCAAACAGAAATCGACCCCTCGGTGAACCGGGCGGGTGTGCTTCTCCAAAACAAAGAATTAGATATCAGTGGTGGAAAAAAAAGATAATCTCCATTTATCACTGAAGTCAGCTAAGCAGGTAGACTGTGGGGACGCAAGTTAGTCTAATGCGAGACCACCGTCCTACACATGGCTGACTCAAGAATGCCAGGGTAAAATGACAGAGGCACTCTGATTTTTCTTTCAAATACTCAAGCTCCAGATTTGCCAAGAGATCCTGCTTCAAATAACCCATTAAGGAGATACCTGGAATCAGCTTGAGGTCTACACATGCACGTGCACACAGAGCCCACCCCCGACACACACACACACACACACACACACACACACACACACACACACGCAGACCATGGAGGTTAAACCAAGTATGGAAGCAGACCACAGTTAACTACTGGATGGAAGCAGTCAGTGTATAGGATTTAGCACACTATTGTGTTCAGCGGGAAGCATGCTACAAACAAATGGAAGAGTGACTCTGACCGGCTCTGCGGAGGACAAGCAGAGACGCTGCTGCTCCCTGACCCTCTCATACCTTTGAGGTTGTTGAGAATGTCATTGGCTTCTTGTAAGGTGTTTCGTCCCTTTTTAGCAGCCTCTTCAGCCAGAGCCTTGGCAGCGTCAGCTCGAGCTAGGAGTTGGTCGGCCGTCTGCAAATGCATGGTAGGTCAGAGGACAAACCTTTCCGGGCCGGCCTTTCCCTCTAGCAGACAAGCCCCTCACAGCCACAGCTTAGAGACTGAAGCAGACACAGAGGCCGCACGCTAGACGCGGCTCACCCTTGAGTCGTTTAAATTGTTGCCTCCAGAAATGCGGCCTGTGGCAAATCAAACTAACCTGCTGCTCAGCTTTTCCCTTCTCTAGAAGGTTCTTTACTTCATTTTCCTTCCCCCGCATATCTTCCCGAAGGTCCTCATAGTCCTTCAGCTTCTGGTCAATTAGACGATCCAGATCCGCAGCTTCTTTCTTGATTTTATTTGCTTCATTCTGTGACGAACATGTAGGCAATGATCACAACAAATGACAAGGATGCTTAGGAGCACTGTGAGATTTAAGGCTCAATTGACAGAAAGACAGCAGGGGTCAAGAGTTTGCGGATTTTTTTTTTTAAATCAAGTATACTTTAGTGATTTCCGAAGGTTTCCTGTATTTTGATCAGCTTTCACAGCTCTGCCCGCCCACGGCTCAAACACATCTTCCTACAAGAGGCCCACAGAACATATCTTCCTATAAGTCCCTTTCAAGTAACTCTCCCTACCCCCCTCCCCCAGCTGTGGGCCTCTGTCAGCCATCATATCAACCCCGTCTATTTCACACTGCACACACACAGACTCATCTGCAGAGACCCAAACCTTGGGAAAACAGCTGACACCTCAGATACAGGGAGCAAGATGGTCAATTTCAATTTAGTATTAAAGATATTTATATGGGGACTTTGGGTGAGAAACCATCGCTAGAAGAAATAAAACATTACCAACTAACGAATGTTCTACCTGCTCTGGCATGCTGCTATAGTTCTTGCAGGCTTGCTCTTCTTACTGCTCTCTAGGTCTCTGTTACACAAGGCCTAGGAGGAAGGCTCCAGCCACACTCTGCTTCAAGTTAACTCAAATATATCACAGTTTGGACTTATATGAAACATCTAGAGGAAGTATTCATATTACCAAGAAATCCTTGCTCCTTCATGTCTATAGTTCTTTAGCTCACTAAGTTATATTTGCATAATTAAAATAGAATTTACCTTTACCAGTGAGCCAGCTGGAGGTCTGGAAGGAAGAAGCAGGGCAGGCTCTTACCCAGACTAGAGGGACAGGGGTGTCAGGTACTACAGTGGCCAGTCTTTGCACACATACCTCCAGCGCCTCGGAGTCCACAGGGGTCAGCTGGGCCACGCTGGCGTAGATCTCTACAGCTTTGTCACCTGCCCGCTTGGCTTCCTCATGGACACGGGCAGCCTGTGTCTCCAGGTCCTGAGAGATGTTCTTTGCTTGCTCATACCTAAGGAAGAAACGGCGCAATTCAATTTAAAAAACCAAAACCTGCTTTTTTAACATCTCAATATTAATCAGATACAATCTAGTTACTCTCCCTGGGAACAGCTCCAAAAACCTAAAAGGAACTGTGTTGGGGGCTGCAGACCAACAGACCCTGAGTTTCTTGTAAACAACTTGTTTTCCTCTGCTCGGAGCTGCCTGCAGCTGCAAGATCCTGAGAGCCGGGGTGTGGCCAGAGCTCTATATAAGTTGCCCCTGAGCACAATAAAATGGGCATTCTTGGCATTCTTGTATCAAGGATGTCCCCATGGTCTTGTCTGTCTGTCCGTCTGTCTGCCTGCCTGTCTGTCTGTCTCTGTCTGTAATTGTGTTTTTAAACTTTCAGTCTAGTTCCCATAGCGTGTAGCAAGTAGAACACGGAATGGAACCAGTGTACTTTTATAGAACTGATGTATCCAATGCTCTCATTTTGATAACAACCCTAGCTAAAAGTTACATTTCATTTTTTCAGTTCTATTTAGCTTACTGTATATAAACCAAGCATTCATAAAACCCAAATTCCAGCTCTATAACATTTCTAGCACTGATAATACTGATAATACAACATGAGAAGTTCATACCTGATTCCATGTGATGGCTACTATCAAACAGCAGACACACTACAAATAGTAGGTAAATGCCGGGCTACACATACACAAACATGGATGAACTTTGTATTTAGACTTGGGTCTCATTCACAATCTCATTACACACACACACACACACACACACACACACACACACACACACACAATGTCCCAAACACTTCTGGTCCCTAATCTTTCAGATTACAAATATTCAATTGATATATTTTA